TTCATACGAGTGATCCTCATATCTTCCCACCCCTGCAGTTTCGTCTGACAAGTGGCGTTCACATTGCACGTTAAGGCAATCTTTATTTTTGTACGTATATAATTTTTCGTTTAAATACGCTTCCTGATTTAAGCGCTTGCCACTCCGCTGTGCGCCAAAAAGGAAATCGGAAAAGTTTTAGAGGTGCGAAAAACGCGTAAAAAGTGTAGTAATTTCCTTTCTATTCCACGATTAAAATTTCAATTCGTATAAAAAGCTTTACATATAAAAGGACGATTCGAATTTTTGTTTTAATTTCGATTTCACAAGCTCGATACATATTTACAAACCACTTTCATCCTTAAAATGGTTAATAATTACCTTGTATCTGGGATTTTATTGATTACAGTTCACGTGTGAGGTAATAAGATACATTTTTTGGCTAGCAAAGTTTGTAACTCATGTAATACCAGTACGACTTGGTGCTTTTGAGGACTTTTGACAGGAAACGAACTAAGGGGTGGGAAATTATTAGTGGAAAAAAAGGAAATCGGCACTGTGCGGTTAATGATTACGGTTGCGTTTGGTTTTAATGATCGGGATTTGAGACCTTTGATCTGCTTTTATATAAATGATGAGAACTTTGAAAGTGATACTCCTACAGAGACGTTTTAGCTGTTAGCGATCGAAATCTCGACAAAGGAATATCGTAGAACTTTCGGGTTTTTAGCATTATACTCGTACTATCGCGCTATTTCTGCATCGCTTTCGTTCTTGAAGTCGATAATTTACGAATTTCCTTTAAATGTCTCTTTTTATAAATCTATTGAGATCTCTACAACGAACGTTCGCTGAGTCTTGGAGTTTTGAGCATTAGGTTCGTATTAAGAGCATAGATTACTCAGCAAACTGAAAGTCATTGCTGGAGTCCTTAATGTATAAATGTTATTTTATTAAAGTTTTTATTTTTTATTGAAGAAGACAGCACCCCAGACCAAGATTTCTAGATAGGTAGGCTGTCTGGAACGCTTGCATTGTGAAGGCGGAAATACGTCATCCAGACGACAAATTTAAAATTGTTTATAGGTTACCAATCATTGCATATATTTTCAAAGGTTGCAATGCTAATAAAAAGGGTAAAAATTTAAAAATTTAATCAAATTGATTTTAGAGTTGGAAATGGGTAGCGTTCAGCGATCGCCAAAATAACAACCCACCCTCCCTCGTCTTTGGGAAACGTAAAAAAACGAGATTTGAATCAGGAATTTTTATATGTACACAGGGTGTTCATTTGAAATCGGATTTATCGAAAACCACTGAGTAAAAGAAAAAACACTGAGACACGTCAAAAGATTTGTCAAGGAGGACAACTTTTTAACGAAAAACTACTTCACCCCCTTTCGCCTTCTGCCTCCAGGGTCATTCCTTTAAAAATTTTAAATGACAAGTGGTATCGAGTAATAGCTTGTTTGAAAGGTCTTTCGAAACCCTTTATTTCGCTGTTTGATTTTTTTACATCGGTCGATTCGTTTTCGAGAAACTTATAAAAATCAGCCGTTATTTCTGTATTTTTCTAAACATGACCCTTGGCCTGATGATGACTGTTAAAGCTGAACAGAAGAGTTGGTCATAACGCTTCAATTTTAGTGCACATTTACTACAAGGGGGAAGTCTTCAGTAAATGCAATCGCTACTTCAGAAAATCAATACCAATAAATCGCTCCACCTATTGTTTCACGGAATCTCGTTTCGCCATAGAATAAACAAGTAAGAGCATCCCCGTTCCATCGCGATATCTAATTCGGCTCGATCAATTTCCATCTTAACGTTCTCAAAGATCACGTAATATATTGAGATTATAGCGACATTAAAGTTGTGAGGCGGTCGCGCCAGCTTTGCGTTATCATAATATTGGGATCATGAGCGAAATACGAAATATCGGTAGAATTCGCTCTCTATCAACATTTTTTTTCCCCATCGCGAAACGATTCGAGATTAAATTTGCATAAGATCAAATGTTATTTAATTGTATCTAAGGGGTGGAATGATGTATTTGCTCGCTTCAATTACCTCTCTCGAGTGTGCCTAATCGAAGAGCGCGTTTTCCGCTAATAAACGGGACGAGAGCAAATATTGGGCGAGATATTTTTTCTTAGCGGATTCGATTCTGACGACGTACTTTAAATTATAGACGTAATTAATGCGTAAATGGAAGTTGAAAGGTGGAAACGTTAAGAAAATGGAATAATGACTGTAAGTGTAAGGAGAACTGGAGCAAGAGAAAATGGGAAAAATGGAAACGAAATTAATTTGTTGACGTCGCAAGCTGGAAGAGAAATTTTACAAAGTCTGTCAAATGATTAAAGTAAACAAAATTAAGGCAAAATTAAGACGTAGCTATTAACGGATTTTCTTAATATTTTGCTACAATTCAATTTTGGGAGAATTCCTTTAATGTTATTTAATCCTCATCTAGGTGCACTGTTTACAATAATTAACTCCAGCTCGAAATAGACGGTGACGTGACAAATTGGTTATTTTCTAAGCGGATTGGTCCGATAGTTAAGGGCTAAGTGAATTATAAAAGTGAGTGAAAGGGAAAATGCTACATTTTGATTCTTCCCTATAGGTCACTATGCAGGGCAGAGAATTTAGGAATTGACCAAGGGGATTGTATTGTTAGAGCAAGTGCTCAGCACCCCACAACAAGCGAACTTAAAGGATTGACTCGCGATTACAACCAATATTTTTCCATAGTTATTTGTAGTGGGCTTTAATGCAGTCAGCGACTTCAAAGCATGCGCTGGAAACGCATTCCAGCGGAGTGTGACCGCCGATTGGTTGACTACGTTTGTATAGGAGTTGGGAGAAAACAGTAATTATTTAATTATACTAATTGATTGTAATCAAGTCAAGTAGGTAGTGTGAGGTGCTGAAGAATAGTCTGTACAATTCACCTACTCATTGAACTTGTTGCATAATTACAACGTACAAACGGACAAAAAAGGTAGTAACTTTTGTATTTGGATAAACTACAAGCTTTAACATTCAACGGTAGGGCCCGTCACAATTAGCAAATTGGGATTCTTGGGATTTTTTAAAGGTTATAACAATTTAGACATTACATATCATAGAAAGGCTACAGGGTGTCAAAATTAAAGGGCTAAATTTTCCAATAAATTGTACAACTGGTCCGAAAATAAGTAGTGGAATTTTTTAACGTTTCTCTTCATATAATGGCTTCGGGAAGATATCTGACCTAAAAATTACGCAGCTCTGAGATTAAGGACAGCTTAGTTTTACTTGCCCTCTGGGAGTACAGAGATCATGATTGCCTTTTTAAAGAAAAATAGTTGGACTTCATTGTTAGACTTTATATGGAAAAAAAAGGATCAATTAAATAATGAAAATTAGGAAGGGGGTTAGTGTGGGAAGTTTTTGAAGGCATTCGGTCCAAGGCTACCAGAAGGGAGTGGTGAAGTTTTCGGAAAATCTCACATTTAAAAAATGACAACAATTGAAAGCAAAAGAGACTTCTCGGGTCAAATTAATTGATCTGAGCCAAAGAAACGGAGATAATTAAAAACATAATACACGATTTATTACGCGGGAATTAATTAATTAACGGATTTTCTTAACATTTTGCTACAATTCAATTTTGGGAGAAGTCTTCCCTTTAATGTTAATGTATACTGTATGAGTGCAGTGTATCGAGACGACAAACTCACAGGAGCATTCAAATATTTTTGACTTTCCCATTTTTCAAAATGATCGCTCTTCCAGTTCAATTTTCAGCATGCGTTCGTTTTCGTTGCATCTACTTAAGTCTCTCTTATTTAATCCTCATCTAGACTCACCCTTCACAATAATTAACTCCAGCTCGAGGTACGCGGTAACGTGACAAATTGGTTATTTTCGAAGCGGGTTGGTCCGATAGTTAAGGGCTAAGTGAATTATAAAAGTGAGTGAAAGGGAATATGCTACATTTTGATTCTTCGCTATAGGTAACTGTCGAGGTGACTATGCAGGGCAGAGAAGTTAGGAATTGACCATGCAGTGGTTCGGAAGATCTGTAAGTGGGGGTTGTATTGTTAAAACAAACCCTCAGCACCCCACAACAAGCGAAATAAAAGTATTAATTCGCGATTATAATCAATGTTTTCCCATAATTCTTTGTAATGGGCTTTAATGCAGTCAGCGACCTCAAAGCATGCGCAGTCATGGAGACGCATTCTAGCGTAATGTGACCGCCGCCGATTGAATGAATACGTTTGTATGTTAGTTGGGAGAAAACAGTAATTATTTAATTATAGTAATGGATTGTAATTGAAATGGGTAGTGTGCGGTGCTAAAGAATACAATTCACCTACTCATTGAACTTGTTGCATAATTACAACGTTCATAGTTAAAAGATTTTAAAACGTGCATGTTTATTGAGTAAGTACGAATTTCGCTGACTTGAGCACCTTACGCAACTAGTTATTCAGGCAAAACACCTGAACGTTGTAAGACTTTGCTGATAATCCAAACTAACAATGTTCAAAAGGGAAAAGTTTCGTTTCTTCGGCGATGAAGGTACGAATTTATCCTTAATTAACGGAAAATCGTTCCGCCAAACACCAGTCTTTATAGCTCTACCGTTTTCCGAAAGCAATTAAGAAACAATGCTCCATAGAATAAATACTTAAATATAAAATGCATGACCCACGACAGCTGGTTATTTTAGGCTCTACCAAAACCATTATTTATCTGAAAAGTGCAGCCGCAACGAAAATATATAAGAATGTGGGCTTGCAGTTGGTGGAAAACAGACGCGAGTTGCCAAGTTTGCGTTGGTTCCATTTTCAAGCTCAAGGCCAGCAACGATCGCTTTAGAGTACCGCTTAAGATAGGGGTGTGAAGGAAACTACACGTACCAAAGAACGCTAACCTTGCCTCTGGGGAATTTTCCACTACGAGCGAGGGATTCCAAATAAAATGGACAAAAAAGGTAACTTTTGTATTTGGATAAACTACAAGCTTTGACATTCAACGGTAGGGCCCGCCACAATTAGCAAATTGGGCTTTTTAAAGGTTATAACAATTTAGGCATTACATATCATAGAAAGGCTACAGGGTGTCAAAATTAGAGGGCTAAATTTTCCAATAAATTGTACAACTGGTCCGAAAATAAGTGGTAGAATTTTTTAACGTAGTTAAATTCTTGTACTCTTCTTATAATGGCTTCGGGAAGATATCTGGCCTAAAAATTACGCAGCTCTGAGATTAAGGACAGCTTAGTTTTTTTGCCCTCTGGGAGTACAGAGATCATGATTGCCTTTTAAAGAAAAATCATTGTTAGACTGGAAAAAAAAGGATCAATTAATTAATGAAAATTAGGAAGGGGGTTAGTGTGGGAAGTTTTTGAAAGCATTCGGTCCAAGGTTGCCAGAAGGGAGTCGTGAAGTTTTCGGAAAATCTCACATTTAAAAAATGGCGACAACAATTGAAAGCAAAAGAGACTTCTCGGGTCTAATTAATTGATCTGAACCAAAGAAACGGAGATAATTAAAAACATAATACACGCGGGAAATTATTGCGGGCCCAGCATGTTTTCTGGTTTAACCCACTCGTCGAACTGTTTATCGGTGACGTGACCCAGCTTAATCGCGGCCTGTTTCAACGTCGACCCGTCCTTGTGGGCCAGCTTGGCGATGGCCGCCGCCTTATCGTACCCGATATGCGGATTTAAAGCGGTAACTAGCATGAGACTTTCTGCCATTATCTTCTTTATCGCCTCCTTGTTTGCGACGATTCCAACCGCGCAGTTATTCGCGAAGGACCTGCACGAGTCGCCCAATAGTCGTATGGATCTGAGCACGTTGGCGACTATCATTGGCTTGAACACGTTCAGCTCGAAGTGACCGTTGGATCCGCCGATGGAGACCGCTACGTGATTGCCCATGACTTGCGCGGCCACCATCGTGATGGCCTCGCATTGTGTTGGGTTAACCTTCCCCGGCATGATCGAACTGCCAGGTTCGTTTTCGGGGAGACTCAGTTCGCCTAGACCACAACGCGGGCCCGATGCCAGAAATCTGATGTCGTTGGCGATCTTCATGAGTGACACCGCTACCACGTTTAACGCACCGGATACCTCCACCATGGAGTCATGCGCGGCTAACGCCTCGAATTTATTGGGAGCCGATACGAAAGGCAAACTTGTCAGCTTCGCTATCTCCAACGCACATTTTTCCGCAAAACCCTTCCTCGTGTTAAGCCCGGTGCCGACCGCCGTACCTCCGATCGCCAGCAGGTACAAGCGTGGCAAAGTGTCGCACACTCTGTCGATGCCAAACTTCAATTGCTGCACATACCCGCCGAACTCCTGGCCCAACGTCAACGGAACTGCATCCTGAGTATGCGTCCGGCCGATTTTAATTATATCTTTAAACTCCTTCGCCTTACAGTCTAAGGCGTCGTGCAGCATTTGCAAATTTGGAAGAAGAGTGCAGTGGATCTCGCGAGCCACTGCTATGTGCATGGCGGTGGGGTAGGTGTCATTACTGCTTTGACTTTTATTCACATGGTCGTTCGGATGGACCGGCTTCTGCGAGCCCAACTTTCCTCCCATGATTTCAATGGCGCGATTGCTAATGACCTCGTTTGCGTTCATATTAGTTTGAGTGCCAGAACCCGTCTGCCAAATCACCAAGGGAAAATGGTCCTTGTACAGTTTTCCAGAAATGACCTCGTCGGAGGCCTTCACGATTGCGTCCGCGATGTCCTTCGGCAACCCAAACTCTTTATTGACAATCGCGGCGGCTTTTTTTAAAACGCCCATCGCAGTCACCACGGGATACTAGAGACTTGCGTTTAAAACCAAAACTGAGGAGGAGAAACTTACGGGCATTAGTTCGGTTTCGCCGCCGATATCAAAGTTCATCGTTGAACGAACGGTTTGGGCACCGTAGTATTTATCGACCGGAACGTCTAACTCGCCGAACGAGTCTTTTTCTTTTCGAACCTTTTTCTATCCAATCGAGAAAAAAGTGTGTTTAATCCTGAGTAACTGCAGACAAGTACTTACCTGGCACATCCCGCATGAGGTATGCAAGTTTGTCTTACACAGTCGCCTAATGGGCAGACTAAATATGTGGAGCAAAGACCTCATTTTCAAGTATAAAAGATGACGTTTTCCGTTTGACAGTAATTTCCAATTTTCGTTTCCTAGTAATTTGATTGATTACATTGTATGCATCCGCTCATGAAATCCCACGTAAAAATTCGTTGGCAATTACTATGGGGTAAAGGGGTTACGCGCCGACCGGTATTTCTGAAGGAAAAAGTAAACGAGACTTTCATTTGTATGAAAATATACAAATGATTCTATGATGGATATAGGGAAAGGATCATCAAATTTTTTTTGCTGGAGGGTATATTTCATACCCCCAGACCCCCTGGTTGTATGATTGTAGTCAGTTTGACTAAGGAAAGAATCATCAAATTTTCTTTGCTGGGGGAATTCCATACCCCCCAGACCCCCCGGTTGTCGGTTTTTACCCAAAACGAAAGTAACTGCCCCTTAGAACTCGCCTTGTACATTTTGAAAAGGACTATTGAACGTATGACTAGGGATCCGTGAGGTATGAACTTCTCGTGCGAAAATGATGATTCAATGATCCTTTTCCAAAACGCGAGAGAACTTTCCAGTGTTAACGTAATACTGTCCCCCCTCCCTTTAAGAAACGAAAATTTCATTTGAATGATAATATACAAATGATTGCATGATGGGTAAGGAAAGGGGCATTTTTCTTTGCTGGGGGGTATGCCCCAGACCCCTCGGTTGCATATTTACACCCAAAACAAGAACTAGTTGCGGATATGCGACGACAATGTTAGGCAATGGTAGCTATTTGTAATCCTAAGGGATGATACATTTAGTGATGACAAGAAGGTTGAATGACAAAAAACTAAATTGTCGACGATGACTGCTGTTTAGCTTCTTGTCAACAAATACAAGCTAAAACCATGGTAAACTGGTAAGCTGATTACGAACAAAATCTAACCGACAAAGAATGTGCAAAATTGGATCAATCAGCAAAATTCGAATTTAACGTTGGTATAATCCTTGAAATGGAAATTAACCACTAACAAATTAATGATAGTAAATAAATGGACCCGTGACCCAATTTTCGTGACCTGTATTGACTTTGTTCTCACCGTTGCATTCCCAGAATTGATGCAGTTGGACAGGTGTCAAAGACAATTAAAACGGGAACTCGTAATTAAACGTGGATGTAGCCTTGAAAATTGGAGCTTGGGGATAGTATTGAAAAAAAAATTCCGTCGAAGACAAAATATTAACATACCTCCAATTAATAAGAGGGATATTACCCACATAGCAGACCTATATACATTGCATATACCATGTACATTCCACGTGGGATATTGTATATCCATAGAATGTGGAAAAGTATGACGCAAATGTCCGACGTAGGTATGTGAATGGGATATAAGTTTGGCAGACTTCACATAAGTACAATGCGATCAAAAAATGAGTTGCTGTCGAGTCACCTTTGGAATTTTTGTTTACATGGGAAATTGTACATATATTGAACTTCCAAAGGCGACTCGACAGCAACTCATTTTTGATCGCCCGTTATATACGTTTTGGATGTCTTATGTATATGCATGTAACGGGCGATCAAAAATGAGATGCTGTCGAGTCGCCTTTAGAAGTTCAATATACAGGGTGACAATTTGAAAACTTACCACCCCCCATATCTTAGTAAATAAACGAAATATTAAAAAAAATCAAAATCCGTTTCAGTAATTCGGAGGGGGAGTCACAATGACATAGTTGGCGACGCACCCCCTCCAACCCCCTGCGCCCCAGCCACCCCAACTTTTAAATCTTAAATAGTGACCCCCTATGTGTGATACGTCGTTGGAAAGCTCTGAAAAAATACTTTCAAACCGTACCAAATAGCATTACATTTAGGTTAGTAATTATCGTGCAAATCAAAAAATAAACTAATATGATACATTTGAAATCTGTCGTATTTCAAACGCAAACGGCGAACATAGACGAACTAAGACAGAGAATAATCTCGAGAATAATTCAAGAATGTCGAAATATTGCAAAACCAACATTTGAAAAGGTTCGACAAGAGTCTGAGAATAGATTATAACTGGCGA